GTAATAGTGAGATTAATTCACAATGACGGCTTTATATATATATATATAAATAAAATAACACACTAAATATAAATTATATTTGTTTTTAGTTTCAAACAGTTTATTTAATTTACAAAGTGCTTATTATTAGTGAGAAGTTGAGAAGTTGAGATGAAGCATACAGAAAAGCAGAGACACACTAAATATGGAATTGCATTTATTTTTTATTGCACATCTTTGCTGGATAAGTGTTTCTAACAAACAGAAGGGGCCAGAGGGATTTTTTTTTATTTTCTCCACCAATTTGTAAGACTGCTAATAACAAAGCTCTGCTTGACTTATACAGGAACCACTTAGGAGGTTGGAATTATGGCAGGGAGATGTTGCTCTTGTAGCATATATACAACCAGGCCTGGCAGGTGGCATCTTATTGGGTCACTTGGGAGGGGCAGCCAGAGGCCTTCCTGGCCAGAGCAGCTCAGGGTGTGTCCTGCCCAGCTCCTTGCAACCAATGATGTCAGTGAGCTGGGCGGAATGCTGGACAGAGCCAGAGGCAGAGGTACACCAGGTTTCCCCGAACACATGCACCAATGCCAGCACCCACATACTAACCAAACTCCCTGGAATGTGCACCACCTGCACCCCCTAACCTGGGACCTGGTAACATGCAACAACACCACCCCCGGACTGAACCAACCCCCCCCCCCACGAAACATGCACCAACAGAAGCCCCCAGACCCCCCACCTCAGTTTGCAGCAAAAAAGTGAAGAGACACCCTTGTATACAACTCTAGGGCTAATTCAGCTCACAAGACTCTACCTATAACTAAAGTATCTCTTAGGGTCCATTCACATCTATGAATTTTAATGTGCATATTTTAGCATGAAGAGGTTTGCCATTGCATTGGTCAAAAGAAGGTCCTGTACTATTTTTCATTTGTCATTCAATGCGCATTATAAGGGCTTCAGATAGAAATGGAAACACATGACAATACATCATGAAGCACTTTAAAATCATGTATCGAAAACGTGCTGCTCTGCAAACATATACATTAAAAAAATACAAAGCTTAAGGCTGGGTTCACACCTGGGCGTTCGTAATATGCGTGTTTGATGCGCGTTTCGAGGCCGCACGTTTTTACAGCGATTTGCAGTCCACGAAACACGCGTTTACGAAAGCTATCCGGCTGTATACTAATGGATACGCGCGGAAATATGCCCCAATAGAAGCTCCTGTACTTGTTCGGGAGTAGGGCGTTTTTCAGCGCTTCAAAACGCGCTGAAATACGCCCAGGTGTTGGGCGTTTTTCAGCGCTTTGATCAGCGCTGAAAAACGCCCAGGTGTGAACCCAGCCTTAAAGCATATTTAAGCCCAACAGCAAAATGTTAATTAATTGTCTGTTGAGCTGACCAGTCTGCTATTTTTAAATTTCCTTTGACAGATAAGCTGTTCAGCAACCCTGTCAGTTAAAGATTTGGGATAAACCATTTAAAACTGATATGAGTGCATACAATGGTCAGTTTTTTTTATTTCGTTAAAACCCCAATAGCAAAAGGAAAAAAATGTTTTTGTAACTGCCTAAAAATTATTAACTGAAGTTAGAGTTTAAATTCTTAGTCACTTATGTAAAGTCCATTGAATATTACAACATTACAAACATTACAACACAATGCTGCTATCCAAGAGTGGTTATGTTGCTCCTCCTTAACTCCTTCACGACCAACGACATACAGTGTACGTCGCTGGCATCAGGGCTGTTTAAACAGACTCCCGGCGGAATCTGTTTAAACTTGTAAAGCTGACTGTCAGCTTTACAGTAGAAGCGATTCTGGCAAGTTCTACGGGCCAGTGAAGCCCCCTATGTGATAGCAATTAAAGTAAAGTAAAAAAAATAAATAAATAACAGTTTTTAAAATTAATGAAAATAAATATAAAAATAATTTTTTTAAATGTTAAAGTCCCCCACGAGCATGCGCATCTTCACATGTTGGGTATCACCGTGCACGCCGAAGTGAGAGCAATAATTCTAGGGCCAGTATTTTTGGGTATCTCTAATCTCTAAATACAATGTAGGAGTGAGTCTTGTCATGGTAGTGACAGGAAGTGTGTTACTGGCAGGATCACCAGGTGAAAATAAACAATAAATAATTAAAAAAAACCCGAATGCAGCCACCCCATCTACCTAAATCCAAGTCTCCTGCCCTGCCAGACAGGGCTGTGTTGTGTGATGAGGATGTGTAAATTTCAGGACTGGAAGGACAGAAATAGAAATTATTTGGCAAGTTAAACAGCTTCTGCATTTGTATTTAATCTGTGTACATAGCTGTTTACCTGAGGTTTATCTTTACAATATAATAAATTAAATGGTAATACACACAGTATATCTGTGATGATTCTCATTTAGCCAGGTAATGGAATAGCTAGGAGAGGTTATTTTGGACTTGTTCTATATTGTTGAATAATATTATAGAATGTTGTTTAGTATTGTAGAACATGTGACGAATCAGCACTAGCGAAAAGGTCAAATATATATATTTTTTCTTCATGTATTTTTTATATAATCAGGTGATTAGAGAAAGAGCTAAAGCACTAAAGGACCAAGGAGTTGTAGAAGAACAGCCCAGCAGTGATGTATATTCCAATAAAAGTAAGAAAAGAAGTGCATTTCTAGACATGCTTCTGAGTGCTACGGATGATGCTGGAAACAAACTGAGCTACAAAGACATCCGTGAAGAAGTTGATACGTTCATGTTTGAGGTAACTTTTCTAAACAAGAGATGTACAGTAAGTAAAACATGTACAAGCACCACTGATCACGGCCGGATTTACTTTCTCTGCTGCCCCAAGGCCAGGTTACTCAATGTGCCTTCCTCCCGCCAAACCCCTCAATGGAGAATGGCAACCAGGGCAACAGGGTTGCTTTTCATTTTTTATTTATTTTTAACTTTTTTTATTCTTTTAATGTTTATTTATTTATTTTTTACTTTTTTATTAAATTTGTATTTATCTTTTAATTTTTAATTTTTTTATAATTTTTTAGCATTTCTCAATGTAGAAA